GGTATGGAGGGACCTTATTAGGGGGGCTGCTCAGGAGGGGTATGTCCCCTGGTCCCCACAGAGTGTAGCCCCCCCTCACAGCACATGGACTGCCCCCCCTGCAGGGCCCCAGCTCTACCCTGGAGGGCCACAGCCCCCCCCCCCAGGGACCCAGCCACCTAACAGGACCACAGCCCCCCTACGCAGGGCACAGAACTTACCCCCCCAGGCTGAATTGGACTGGGTCGGACTGGTAGTTTGCATTTTCATCGTATATGCCTGCCCCGTCCCACCCTGCAGCCACAGTGCTGGTGGCAGCAGACAAGTGGGGCTATGCAGGTGCAGCAGGCAGCAACGTGGCACTGTATGACCTGAGCTCCACACACACTGAATGGATCTGGCCCGGCCCATCCAAGGCTGTGCACTAGTGACCTGGGCCGGGTCCATTCAGCATGTACAGAGCCCAGGTCTCACAGTGCCGCATCACTGCCCACTGTGCCTGCAGCAGAGCCACAGCCACGCTGCCTGCTGCCATCAGCACTGCAGGGGTTGGATGGGGGGGCAGGCATGTGGCAGCCCCCACTTGAGCCCCTCCACATACCCACCCACTGAGACATTGAGACATCCCCCCCGCTGCTCCTCACAACCCCTGACATCTCCCTGACACTCCCCATAGCCCCCAACAATCCTCTCTACTCCCAACACCCCCCAACATCCTCCTGCCTCTCCTCACACCCACCTACGAACACCCACAAATCCCCCCACCCCATGTCCCTAACTTACCTTTGACAGTGCCAAGGGCAGCAGAAGCACCACAGAGAAGCTCTGGCCAGAAACCAGAGCATCTCTCCTGGAGGACCAACTCCTGGGTTGTCTCCAGGCACAGTCTGGGACCATGTCTTGCCCCCTGTTTTGCAGCATGGATTTTTTTGACCTCTGGGGGGGGTCTAATTTTGCCCCTGTGCTACAAATATACAGCATGAAGAATGTTTTTGTGTTCCTGCACGAGCGTCTTGCAGCATCTCAAGGGGATTTGAGACCCTGCAAGACACATGTGCATACTCGTCTGGATGCACCCTCTGGGTTCATTTGCATTTTGGGGCCTCTCTCAGTATACCATTAATTTATCCAGCAACCATTTAGGATGGTTTCCAGAGTAAGCAATGAGCACATTGTTTTCAGTAACTCTGTACAGAGTTATCTCTATATCATTTTGGCTTCTAAATTCTTGAATTACTATAGGACTGAATTTTGTAGTGAACTGAATGTCCTGAAGCAGTGTCACTTTTATAATAGGATACTTTGTAAAACTGTTTCTCTTGGTAATGTAATATTCTAAAAACCAACATGCACAATAAATTAGTAGTACAGTAGTATGTAAGCATGGAGTGTCACAGGCCAGCTGGGCACTGTGAGTATATCAATCTAGTTGCAGACTGACTGCGCACTGCAACTTTATTAGCCACTGGGCTTTTGGTTCGGGATCGAGGAGGTGATGTTGGAAAGGAAAGAAATGACAAGTTTCACTTACAAAAAGGAATTAATTTTACTTATGACAACAAAAGATATAGTTTGTATATATAATAGTTAATAAAAAGGTTAAGCTAATAAACAGACAACATAACAATACAGATTAAAATTGACAGTGATAATAAAACAGATAAAGAAATTAACCAAGAGTTCCCACTTGGTTAGTAACTTATCAATAGTCCCTCAGTTAGAAGATGCACGTCAAGTTGAATCAGCGAAGTCAGACGTCTCTGAACTGGGCTGCCCAAAGGAGAACCAGTAGAAGCCCCTCAGTCAGGATCTGGTCCTCGCTCTCACAGGGAGTAAGAGAGATCCATGGGGATATGGGACAGCAATGACCCTTCTGTTCCGTCCTTCCCAAGGGTTACTATGACGTGTGTGTTTTTCTATATCCTAATTATGCTAATTTTTAGTTATATAGCCTTTCATAATATTACTTTATAGCTGTTATCCTATGGGGTTAAAAGGTGTTAGAAATCATTATAACAAGTTACTGCCCAAGCTTGGGTTTATCCAATAAGCAAATTGCAACACAACATCTTCAGGTTTGAAATTAACATTACCCTGCCTAAATCCAGCCCCTTCAGAACTCTCTGACTATGCTTTTTTGAGATGTTCTTTCTTGAAATGTACTGGATAAGCTGGGCAGTTGAATCCAGTTTTTATCATTATCCAGGCTAAATTCTGAGCGAGAAAGAACTGTTAGGTCAGCTAATTTCACAGCTATAGCTTTGTCTTTGAGGCCTAGTCAGTTCCACAAACAGTTACAAGTTACATTTGCGGGTTACAAAAATACAAGCTTCATATTAGACAAAAGCTCCAAATGCCTCCAAGAAGCACATATTTATTGCTTATTAATTTCTTTGGTTCTGGCCATCACAATGGAGCCATCTAGTGGTAAGCACTATCTAAGGCAGGAGGAAAAAAACCTGTTAAAGGCACTACTCTGTTGCACAATATATGGACCATTCAACAATTCAGTTCTCTTCAGTGGGCACATCTACATGAGACAATGCACAGAAGACCAATTTTACTGCACATTAGCATGACGGATAAAGCCCATGCTAATGCACTAATGCGCAGTAGATTTAATTTAATGTGCATTAATGTCACTAAAAAATGTTCACCTGTGATAATGCACAGTAGCACCAATTATGGCACATTAATGTGTAGATGTGCCCAGTAGGAACTAAATTGCTTTTAAATGTTTAAAATCTCTAATTATTACCGTAATGTGCATATGGACTTAAATATATTGAAATAGCAACTTTCAATATCAAATGGTTGAAAAACATCTTTATCTTTTTTGCCTTGTTCACACCAAGGTTCAGTATTTCTTCTGCAAGAACTCTTTCTTACTCTCATTGAAGCAAAGTAAAGAACATTGCAAAGGGGAGTTGTTACAGTATTTGGACCCAAATGATTTAGCAAAGTATCCCAAAAAAATCATTTTTGGTTTAGCTAGGAGGAGAACTCCGGTCTGCATGTCAAGCTACCTGGTTCTTTTTTTATATGCCTGCTGAGGCAGAGCTTAAAATGATGTTAGTACATTTACTATCTAAGCAGTAAATGCTAGTAAGGAATGTAAGACTAGAAGGGGCTTTCTGGATCAAAAAAGTCTGAAGTCCATATTTAAATTAAGTTTTTCCTGATTTTTCAATAATGCTGACCTTTCAGCTGCTTGCACTGCTTCAGTGGTTTAGCCACGAAGCTAAAACCACTGTAGTTTTATAGTTATGGTATTGTTCCAAATCTGTTGACCCTCCATATAAGTAAATCCCACATTTTCAGTTTCAATGTTAAGAAAAACAGTATTTATCTTTAGCATTAATTGACTGTCACAGATACAGTCATCCTGCTATTACCCTTGAAAAGACCCACAGGTGAAACAAACAACCAAAGCAAAGAGACTGAAATCTAGATACACTAAAAATGCTGAAATAAAAACTGCTGTGGAAAAAAAATCAGATTTTATATTATTATTGTAAGCACAAGAATATTGCATGTCTGGATTGTCAGTGGCCTAATAATCCTGTATATGAATGCAATTTTTATGGTGGAAAAATAAATTGAGATATATTTAAGCACCAGAATGTCAGAAATTACTCTCTTAACAAGTCAATTGATTTTAAAAAAGCATAAAGGATATATAATTCACTCTAGTCTGGGAGAACTATACTTTTATTATTTAAGTCCTGTATCTATTTATTATTTAAGTCCTATATCTCTTGTTCTTTGACACCCAAAAGAAAGACTTAAGAATCAGTGTTACTTCAGATGTTCAGGATACACTGAGAAACTTTATAATAAATAAAGTGGTATTGATATTCTGTTTTTTTTCAGTGGTTGCATCTACATCTGTGCTTTACTGTGGAGTAGACTGATTAGCTCTACAGTAAGGTGTCACCAGCTACACGTGCAATAGTATTAGGGCAAAGTAAATTAATTAGCTCCAGACAGTACTATGTTATGGTGGAGTAATTAACTGTGACGATACACACGTGTAAATGATGACAGGGGCTGGGTGGAACACAAGGGTCCTAAACTGCAGGGGCTGCCTGTCACCAAGCCACATGGCTCTGCACTTTAGCAACCTTGTGCCCCAGCCAGCCCTCCACCATCAATTGCCGTCACCCAAAGCCCAGGTCTGACCCACCAGGCCCTCTGCCAACCTGGGGCCGCTCTGCCCCAGGTCAAATTGCTACTGTCTTAGGCACACATGTAGATGTTGCACCCTGAAAGAGCTAACTATGGCTCAAATGGCTCTGGAGTTCATTGAGTGGTATTAATTGTATGTGTAAATACACTCAGTAGGTGAGTCCAGACAAGTACACGTGTAGCATCCAGTGCTACAAAATGGTCTGAGGCACCGCGCAGCAAACACACTGCATATGCAGGCATTCCACACATTGCTAATTTACAGCATGGAGGAGGGGAACGGTGCGGGTTGACACCAAGAGTTCCCAGTGTCAAAAAAACCCACGCCTAAAAAAAGCAGGGCAGTATTCATGACAGCATTGTGCACCACCCACAACTGGAGCTTAGCTGGCCAGATCCACACCCTGGCTCTCAGCCAGGCTCCCTGCTGCCGGATTGCCATGTCTGCAGTCCCTAGAGACCTCCAGACTCCTGAAAGTCTGCTGGGGCCAGCCCAGGTGCTGACCCTAGCCTCCCCTATCTCACTTACATGTCATGTGCCAGAGCACTTGTGCACTTGCACCCCCCAGGGACAAGCAGCAGTGGTACATATTGTGCCACTGTTGTTTGTCCCCAGGGCAATACTGGTTCCCACTCCTGGGGACATACCTAGTGTTTAAAAGAGACCTTCCTATCCAGAAATATAAAGGTTTGGTGTAAACAGGGAACTAAATTTGGTTATTTCTGTGGGGCAAGAATCATGTCTCTTACATGTTAATCACCAACAGCATATGTGGCATGGCAGAAATAATATCGAATAATAATTAATTAAAAAGTAGTTCAATTAGAAAAACAGTTGTACTCTAAATTTCAATACGGGATGTGACATCTCCATGATGTTCTCTGGTCCCTAATAATGGACAAGTATAAAATTTGGCTGCTGTAAATGCCAGGAATAAAATAAAACATATAACACATCAACAACATATAAAGTGATATGGCATTATGTCCCAATTTAAAATATATACATTTGCTTTTAAGAACCTGTTTAGGTATAAGATGTCTTCTGTGTCTCTTTGCAAAAAACTCAACATCTTCAGAAAGATCATGTGTTAGGACAGAGGCCAAAGAAAGATGACAATAACATCCTTTCTGAGAAATGCAGATTGGAAGTTCTTCTATCTGAGACTTGAATTTGAGTACTAAAGGTAAACTTTGCTTGACTTTCCTTAGTCCATAGGAATACTTTTTTTTTAATTAATTCTCAATGTAAGAATAAGAAATGATGTTGCACAGGTGAAAGAAATTATTTTATGAGCAACCCCATACAGCCCCTTGTCCCTATTTTGAGCAAACCTATTTAGCCACACATTCACTTTGGATAATATGTAAACCCTCAGCAGCTGTTGTCTGTTACCTGTGCTGTTCCACTTAATGTAGCATGACAATAATGAAAATAGAGACAGCCTTTTCTCTGTGGTTGTAGGGGCCAGGACTAGAAGCAATGGCTTCACATTGCACCAGAGGAAATTTAAATTGGAGATTAGGAAGACCATTCTGACTATGAGCGTGGTGAAGCACTAAAATAGGCCACTTAGAAAAGTTGTGGAATGTCCATCCCTGGACTTTTTCAAAAGCAGGGAGCTAGACTAGATAACCTCATGATGACCCTTCCAGCCCTGCTTTCCCAAAATTATGCAGGTCTACTTGTCATCCATGGTGGCATTTCCCTTGATTCTTGTCTTTCAGTTTGTTTCCCACTGCTCCTTTTTCTTTCCTTGATATGATTTGTTCCTCTGACCACTTGCAGAATCTTCTGACAGATGGGCATTTATGTCATGCGTGTTATAGGCCATTCATGAATATACATTCAAGGTGAAACTCTTCAGAAGAAAATGTTATGGTTTTGGTTAAAACCTATTAGGATCAACAAGGTTTCCTTTTGATACAGAGCAGCTGCATAAAGGGAAGCTTGAAGCCAGGGCATATCAAAATCATGGGATCCTAGGACAGGAGCCTGAACTATGATTTTTTCCAAAGTGCCAAGCCTAGGAGCTGAAATAAGAACATGGAACTCAGCATTTAGCAAAGTCTGAAGAACACAGAAGTAGCACAAACTGAAATTTGAAGTGTCTGTTACATGGGAAATTTTTCCTGAACACAGGTTTAGATTTTCCAGAACTTTCTTTTGAAAGAAATTGCCCAAAGAATTTATTTTGAAACAAATGAATTATTTCTGGTCAATTTTTCTCTATAACCAAATAGAGTGCCAGACTAACCCAAATCCCAGGGAGCTGGGATGAGTCCAGAGATTTCCCCAAGGTGATAAGAGTCCCTTACTACAGGTCAGGAAGCCGGTGGTAAAAACCTGAAAACCTTGGTTTGAGCTAGAGGTCTCAGAAGCCTAAGCCCTGATGTCCCCTGCTGGTCTTAGGGAAATACCTGAGAAAGAGAAAGGCCTGGCTGTACTAAAGGAATTATGGGATTAGGATGAACCATCAACATGATACAACCATGGGGAGCCCTATGGGAAGGATGACATGGTGCTGGAAGGCATATTTGGCCTACAGGCTGGGGCTTGAGCACCACCCCTCTCCACCCCCAGATTAATCTAAGGACAGTGCTGGTGCAAGAGAGAACAAATGACCGTATATAAATTCAGGCAGGAAATTAGAACGTTTCTAACCATCAGAAGAGGGAGGTTCTAATTCAGCCTTCTAATAGGAGTAATAGGGCCAAAAACCCCAAACTCTTTTAAGACCTCTTAAATCTCCCTTAGTTACTTTTCTTCTCAGGGTTTGCCACACATTCAGGTCTAGCTTCTGTTGTTTACAAATATCACTACATAAATACACATTTAAATGCGTATTTAGCCAGAAAGCAGAATGCTTAGCACGCCTTCCTACTTCAAACACATCTGTGATTGCCTATTATACATTAATTATTAGATCAAAGACCTGCTAAATGACAGCTCTTGAGATATTTCAACATAAATGTATGGATAATTTATTTTTAACAAGATTTGTGTATCTGTACACATTATTTTAAAATAGGATTTTAAAAGTCCCAGGCAATAATTTTTTATTAAAAATTCATACAAAGACAGTAGCAGAGAAGCAGAACTACAAAGGCCTCAAACCCATAAGTCCTAAAAGGAAAGCTATTCCATCATACTAAAAATAATCAGAATATCACGTTTATACTGGATCTTGAAAGCACGTTTGTCTTACTATATTGCTATACATTGAGTATGTGTTGTATTTTAACTTTATTTCCATTATACTGAACAAATATACAACTTCTATCACTTTTACCAATTTTACTTGTTCAAAACAGGTTATCTATGCATCTGGACTCAATCCTGCATAGGACTCAGTGTTGTGAATGAGTGCTAAGTATAGACTACACTTTAAACATATGCTTAACTTTGAGCATATGAGTATTCCAGTGAAACTAAACTTCTTGACTGAGATTATTTTTAATGCTAGTGGAATTACTGACAGGCTTAAATTTAAATACATGCTTAATTAACTGTTTTGTGGATCAGAGTCTTAGAACCTATGTTTCCCTTCATGATTCCTACTCCCTGGGTCAAAGAATTTCCTCTGACTGGTAGCACCACAGGGTTTAAACATTTTCTCTTAGTCATACTTACAGTCAGCAGATACATCAACAGGAGAGACTTCCAGCAGGAGTTGTAAATAACAAGTAATTTTACCAAGAAAACCAAAATATAATTTAAAATGTACAAAAGGCAGGTAAATAAGAAGGCCTCCAAGCATAAAAATAAAAGCATATATATACTGCACCTTTGGAGACCAGATTATAGGAGCCAAAACTAAGAATAACGAAATTGCCACCATCACAAATGCTACTGGTAAGAACACCTACAGGAAACACAAAAAGACTGTTTCAGAAAGTATTATTTGCAATAAAAATAAAATTCTTATTGCAATAGTAAGTACAGTTACAAGCACAGTTCTTGTGCTATCACAACTTCCTATTGTGCCTGGCAGTGTACCAACAAAAGTCAAAGTGACCTAAAGTTTAATCTAGCAAGGAAGACATTGCCAATGTCACTGATTCATATCATCTCATGGTTTCCCCTTACTCTCCCATCTCTCTCTTGTCTTCTACATAGACTGGACACTGTTTGGGGCAGGGGCCATCTTTTGTTCTGTTTGTACAGGACCTAGTATCCTCGATACAGGATTGGAGTTCTAGGGACTAGAGAAATACAGATAATAACAAATAATAGTGAGTTCTCATTTTATAATTGCTGTTCACAGTCTGATGTTTTGTAGCTTTTACCCTATATCCATGACCCAAGAAATTTGTTACAATATTTTATAATAGGTTTCTTTTTACCTTGTATGGTCGATGCAGATTAGGCTCCCGGTATCGGAGTACAATTAAGCTAGCACAGGTCAGTCCAATCATGAGCCACACGGAAAATCCAAAGTAATTTGTTAAAGCAATGAGATCAGAGGGGATAATAAAAATGGAAGCAATGATGGTTGAAAAAATCATGGCTGGAGCTGGTGTGCAACAGTGAACATTCAGCATGGATATTAAAACAGGCAAATGTCCTGACTGACTTCCAGCATAGCTTAATCGTCCTAATGTAAACATGCTACTGTTGAGGGCACCAAATATTGAGACAGCAACAGATAAAGGAATGATCCAAGCAACAGCAGGGATTACTCTGTCAGCCCATGTGACTGCCACAGCAACTGCAAGGAAACAAGAAGGTAGTAAGACTAAGGGTGTAGCACTCCAATAATCTCCTTGAAGTTGTGCCAAACCAGGAGAGGTACATTCTGGAAGTAGGCAATAAAGAAAGGGAGAGACCCATGGCAATGTAACTAGTGTGGTTTCACTATACATATGTGGTAGGAAGAAAATCTGGGGAGGAAAACAAATGTGCTAACTCCTCACGTGACACTTAAGGTGGAGGATCCCTGTGTGGTGGCCTGATAGGGTTAAGACAGGTCAGAGGACATAATACAGCACGGATCATCTTGTCTTCCACCCCATGGTGGGACTGCACTAAGAAACATGAAGGTCTATGTCCTAGGGACAGACATTCAAGAAGCATGAACTTGAATTGATTCTACGTTTGCGGGTTAGTCTAACCTGGCTAGGCTAAATCAGTTTTGTAACTGGACAGACATCACAGACATGCAGGCACATGCCTGCAGTGACTCAGGCTAGAAGCCAGGGGGGGAGGGGGCTAAAGCATCCCTCCCTTCTTTCCACAGCAGGGAGCTGAGGGTGGGGAGTGGCCAGGCCCAGCAGGGAATTGGTAACAATGTTTATCACCTAATTAAGAAAACAACACAGGGACATTACCAGCTACTTATTGATTCTGCCTGTTGATTCTACCTGAATTCTTGCTTAACAGGGAGTGGTGAGGGGCAGGAGAGGAGCAGCCCACAGTCTGTGCTGGAGCTCCAGCCAGGGAGCAGAGGGGAGGGGCTAGCCCTGCTGTGGAGCAGAGACCCACCCCCACCCTCCCACCCC